ATAATAATATTAATAAAAATCATAATATGTGACATTTATATAGCGCTCAACTCTGATTTAAGTTCACAGGCTCTGAGCGCTTTACAATACAGTATTTTGTTGTTTTTGTGTTGTTAATTATTTTCTTGTTACTGTATCTAATATCATCATTATCACGTTATCACCATTGTTTCGTTGTTGTTTTTCTTGTTCTTCTTGTAAATGGATCGAGTGGTAACCAAAAAAACAACAACAAACAAACAAACAAACAAACAAACCAAAAACATACAGTGGGAAATGTAGCACTATTTTTTATAGGTCTCTTTACTGTAATCATACAGCTTAGATAGATTATGTCTATCCTAATAATCGTGAGGATCTGACTTTATAATCTAAAGTTTTCATTGCTTACCCAGTTTACATGCTATGTTAAAAGCTATATTTATATACTTTTTGTCTTCACCCCTCTCCCCTTGTCCTGTTTGTGCCTCTAACGATTCTCTCTGCGTTCAAAGTCAGGTGTTCTGTAGGCACCTCAGACGGGTTCTAGTTCTAATTCTTTATTGTCCCTTGGTATCTTCAGGCTTATTTTGTCCTGACCTGCTCTAAATGCATGCCCGGTTTCATGTCAACATGCTTCTCTATTGGATAACAACAAAACACGTTATTTATTTTTACACTCATATCTTAATCATGTGACTACGTTTCAAAGTATTAGGTGATTTGAAGAGCAAAAAGGACTAGGTCATCTCTTGTATAATTGGATCTTGTGTCATACTGATTTTGAATCTTATTTCATTCACACGTTATTGTGTTATGGCAACCCTTTTCATCACTTTTCATCAGTGGATTTTATAAAGTGAGAATCATTATGTATGAAAAAACCTCCAACAAACTCAGAAAAACAAAAACAATCCAACTGGGATGCATTTGAAAAGTGCAGACATTTCTCTAACGTGCTTGTAGCACGCCATAATGTTTCTTGAATATCTATCAAAATATTATTCTGCTAAAAATAGGTTTAACTTGGGCACAAGGAACGTCGTAGACGAGTGTTATACATTATGGCAGACTAGATGTACAGCACTTTATAACTTCAAAACATTTCAGGAGCTCAGTGATGCATGTCTTTAACATTCAGCGCTGTAATGTTGTATGTGGTGGCCTAGCTTGTGTGCTGTTGTGATGGTGGATGATAGTAGGCTGTGATCATAATACACATTTTAAGTAGTTAGGTAAGTAGTTACGTTGGTGGTTAGGTAGGAAGGTAGATTAATAAAAGCGTTAGTCAATGAACTTGTTTATTGTTTGGTATTGGTTGTGTTTGAAAGTTTGTTTCTTAGACACCAAGTAAGGCAGGTTGTCTTGATTTTTCGTTGATTTATTGGTAAGACAGGCTGTTGCATAGTTAGGCTGGATCGTTGTATATGGCTTGGTGAGTAGGTCTATTTGTCTGCCGCTTTGGATATCAATCTGGCATGTCACTTAGGCTAGTTAATGTCAGTCAGTTATGAACTATCATATAGCAAATAGACAGGTACGGGCTCTACACTTCGGTGGAATGGTAAAATACCACATTTCACTAGAATTTAGCTTTACGAACACTTGACAGCACAACACATTTCTATCCACACCCTCATATCTATGTCCATAATCAATTATGATAGTCGCCCCAATGCTCTAATAGCTTGTGAACCACAGTGAAGTATCGTTGGGAAAATGGCTTTTGATTAATATTAGTTCTATGTATTCGCCAGGATGGGTTTCTGAATGAAATCGGTTTACCGTTGTTAAAAACGTGCTTTTTTCTCTGCAGGAATCTACAATGGTGTTCGAAACTTAGGATTAGTTGTAATTTGCAGCGCTGCTTTCGTCTTTCTTTACTCTCCCTCGTTTATCAATGCCAATCTTGCATTTTCTTAGCACAAGATGACTGTTATAGGACCGATGTACTTCTTTTTTTCCTCAAAATAAATTGAACTAATTTGAATTGTATTGCATTTTATCATGTGTTGTGAACGTACATAGAATTATAAAATGCACGATTTAAATTCCAGTTTATTTTTTTGCAAAGATGAGATCACATTTTGTTTTTGCGGTTTTTTGTTGTTTTATGTTTGCTCATATGTTTGTTTCTTTCTTCAGACTTCTTTGTTTTAACATGGCATCTTTTATATGTTCTACAGACTATTCAGAACACAGACGGTGTCATAGAAGCCTGGCTGGGAGAACAGGACAACGTGTTTTACGTCACCCTCAGAAATCTACGCGTCATCTGCCTGCGGGGGTTCCACCTGACGGCCCTGGTAGATCATATCAAACAACTTGAACAGGAAGAATCTGACGCAAACGAACAGAAGATGGGAGAGAAATCTGCCAGTGAGCTACGTCAGAAGCTTTCTCCTCCACACGATTTCGCTTCTTCTTCGTTGAACATCAAAAGCCTGGCAAAGAGAAGAAGACGTCGGATGCTAGAGAAGCGGGCGGGGTCACACGATATCTCGTCATTTGAGTCAACGACTTCGCCGGAAGATAAACCTGTTACTTTTTCGGCAAAAACCACTGAAGTCAGTACGTCAGAACAACTCGGTTCCGCTTCAGATTTAAAGTCCCAGTCGTGCAATGGTAGCACAAGTGAAGATCTGTTGAGCGATAGTCGTAATGAGGAGTTGGAGAAATGGACTCAGATCGCAGCCTCCTATTTCGAGGCCATGGGAGTGGTCAAGGACATTGATTCTATTGAAATTTTCCGCTCTTTTAATCTGAGGTCTAGCAAAAATGCTGGTAGTGATATGTGTGCCCCTCAAACGAAAATTCGGACAAGGGCCTCACCAACTCATTCTTTTCTGTCCGATTCCGACAACGGATCTGTACATTCCGAGGCGAGACAGTTGGCAGGCAGCGGACTAGCGGAAACTGGATACTCATCAAACACTCTAACGCGCAGCGAAATTCAGCCGTTTAACAGGCCAGATGTGCCCCTGGTTGGAGCAAGTGCAAGAAAGAATGCTTTTGCAAGAGAACAAACCAAAGCTCTCAGCTTAGATTCCCATCAGCAAAATCAGCTGAGAGCAGAAGCAGAAGCAAATTGGACCATCAGAAAACGTTTTATTAAAGTCCCTCGATCCGGGCGCTCCAAAGACATTTACTTATCAGGAGCAGACACACTTGGGGGTCTTCCAGAAGACTCGTACCATCCTCTGACCCACATGGATACCCGTTCAGGCTTACGTTCCCGCCTCCAACGCGATAGTAGCTTTAACCCTGAGAGACGGTCGTTCTCAATGCCGGAAACTCCCATACATCTCGAAGAGGACTCACTGATGGGTCCTTATCGTATGCCGCCTCTTTCACTCAACTTGGACGAGATTAGTAACGAAAATACAACCCAAAATGCTCCCGATTCCACCCATTCGGGAGGTGAACCAACTTCTGATCTATTAGGAGTCACGTTTATTGTTGGTGGCAAGGGCGATGTCAGAGATAAAGATCCAGGAAAAGGAAATTCCGAGGATGTTTCGAATGACTTCACCATGAACTCGGCGTCTTACTTCTCATCGTCCAGTTCAAACCAAGAAAAAGTGAATTGGATCTCCGAGACGCCAGCTACAAGACGCTCTGATGGCAGTGACGCAAAGTCAAAACGAGCGGCATTTTCCAGGCGGAGGGTAGAGAACTGTTCCCCCGCGTCCTCCACGGAGGTCACAGGCGCTGGCGATATCAGTCCGTCTTCGAATGGTGGGTTCAGTTCAGACTTGTCGTCTTTAGCGAGTGCTGAGGAAGGGAAGACGTATAAAAAAGCTACTAAGTCACAAAAGAAGAGAAGCGACGGTTTGTGAGAGGGAATACTTGGGACATGTGCAATGTGTTTATATCTTCAATAGCATTATCTTCTTTTGCTCTCTCTCTCGCTAATGATCGGCAGAAACAAAATGTAAACAACTGTTGCTTTCTGTTAACATGGTTGACAACAGTATGTTTCGTGTTTCTTTTACTGGGGTTAAGCTCGTTGTGTTAAGCTAATACAGTGTAAAGCCCATCTATACACCCAATTTTTCTTTGGGCGAGACCACCAATGTTTGAATTTACTTTTTAACCTTCAAGAGTTTTACGTTTGCTTTCTAAACGCTCGAAATAGATCCCAGATCGAGCTTGCCAAATCAAAAGAGCACGATTTTTCTTCTGTACGGTATACAGTACACGCCCTTTGGAAGTTTGCATGAATGCATAAATGAAATATTCATATTGTTTCATTATTATAAACTGCATAAATAATGATCAGCACTGAACCTTCCCCATACTGATTTGTTGTATGTTGTAGGCTATGAAGAGTATAGTCAAGCTCTTCGCTTTCCCATGCAGGAAACATTGACACTTCTGCGACGGGATGTAAAGTTATCGCTCTTTTTCGTCTTTCTGGTGGGATTATGCTTTTTTCTGAAAGGCAAAGTCTGTGCAAACCGCCTTAATGATCTAAATGGTGTCGATTGTGACGTAACACATTCACTATCTACCAGTCAGTAATAGGTATTGCAATCGTGGAAAGCCTTGGTCGGTATTAACTTCACCTCTCCCCGCCTCCCAAATTTTTTTATTTATAAACTTGGCTTGAACTGTGATGTATCATTGCTGTGATTCCAAACTTAGACCGCACCCATGTTTCGGACGTACAACGTATTCATACTTGTCATTTCAAAGAACATACTTTCAGTCCGCTGGGCACTGGCGTCTGTGGTGTGGTGGTTAGGCACTTTACTGTCACTTGCATGAGACCACAGTGCGATTCCTTCGTGGGGAGAATTTCTATAGATTATTTCGGTTTTTCCGCCGGGACGTGGTATTCCTCTCAGCCCAAGTTGTCAGGGTCAAAGCCCGTCTCTTAAGTGATCTACATTGTGTCTATGGGGGTACGTTAAAACACCCACATAAAAGACATTCTGCCAGGGTCCTGTCCTGATGACCTTGATTCGAATTCCCCATGAGGCCTTATTGGGCATGGTCAGCTAAGTAGTTTTCAAAGCTCTTCATCCAATCCGACTAGTCCTTTAGAAGAAGGGGGTTAATTTCGAGATCCAGCCTCTTTAACGACCGGATAGTGATCAAAGGGCCGCTGCACCCATACCAGTTGTCTTATTTTTTACAATGTGCATTGTTTGCGAAACAGCCGAATATCTAGTAATTTATTATCTGTGTTTTACCCACAAACTGCCAAAAGATTTTTTGCCGTGCTTTCACCTATTGTATTTATGCCTATATATATAAAACATATGTGAAATATAATGTATATGAACAGACACATGTATATTATTTAGGAGGAGATGCAAAAGTATTCATTCATTAAGTATCAATCACATCATTTTTATGATACTTAAACCGTTTAACTATTAGCACATGAAATTAGTTGGCCTTCTTGTAAATCACCAGTGTAATTAATCATAATTTATTTAACTAACTAAATGTGCTAATCACATTAAATGAATTAAGTATTATAACGATGATGTGATACTTACCTTTTCAGCCCCCTTGAATACACACTACTATAAATCTATTTGCATACACATTTATTCATATGTGCAGACACATCTATTATCTATTTGTGGTGGCCGAATTTTGCTATTCAAAAGGCTTTCTAATGGCTGCATCGATCGACATGCAGTTTTCGCCAAAAGATTCTTTCAAATATTTTCCTGATCATGACGCCCTTCGCTTTTTTCAGTTTTGAGACAGTTTTGCTGCAAAAAGCTAAATTTCTTTATTTCGCCGATCGCTTTTGTAGGCCGACGCTTCTGTCTCTGTAATTTTAGAAAACCCGGAAGTGATATTTCGCGAGGCGCATTTTGTTTTGAGAGTATAGATCTAGACCTAAATTTTTACATCCTCAAGATTTATTGCCCCATTCCAGTAGGCCTAGAGTGTAAATATAGTAGGCCAATTACTTTTAGTTGATATTAAAACACCGATCATTCCTTTCATCGAAAGGGGGCCCAGCTGTTATACACATAAATGCACACACTCACAAAAACACACACACAAACAAGCAAGCGGGCACACACACATACACACATACACACATACAATATATATATATATATATATATATATATATATATATATATATATAATATATATATATATCCATATATATTATATACATGTATACACACACACACACACACACACACACACACACACACACACACACACACACACACACACACACACACACACACACACACACTGTTTGAAAACCCACTGAATTCAAAATGTTGCATGCTCGCAGAAAATGACATAATGACAATGAGGAATTAAAAAATCATTTGCTTTATAATTTTTTGAGTTTCTCTTTTTTCTTTGTATGTTTTGTTTTCTGAAACCTGGTCGGCTTTACCGGCTTTTGATGTTCTGTCTTGACTATCTCTGAACAGGTGAGTCCACAAGGGTTCGGTGGTTGAATTGAGGATGACACTGGCAGATTTTACTTCTTTACACTGCTTTTTTTATTTCTATATTATATCAGTCGTGCTTTTTCTGGCGCAAAATCTTAACGGGTGTTACTGTGTCTCCTTTAAATAATGCCCCCTCCCCCCTGTGCCAGATGCACAAGATCCAGAGCAGTTCTCGGTATCGGGGGAACGTAAACCGGAGGGTGTTACTGTGCTCATTTGTTTTTATTTGCTCAAACAAAACAAGAAGTACAAAACCAGAATTCGGAAAAGGTTAGACCGTGCTGTCACCTTGGACTAGATTTTCCTAATTGCTACATTGTTTTTTTGAAAACCCCTGCGTCAGTGGTGCGAAGACGGGTTCTTCAACGCTGTACATAAAATATGAACTCGCTACCAAAGTTGAGAAGTCTGTTTCATCAAGCATCTCTATCTATCTGCTCAAACACTGCAAGGGGGCTCTCGTGGCCTAGAGGTTAAGGTATTCGCTTCTCATTCAAAGGTCCCTGTTTCGAATCCGGGTAGCAACGGAACATTTTTATTCTCTAAAATTGTCTCCTTTCACCTCCTTCCCTGCTTTCTAACAATGTTCTGTAGTCTGCTTTCGTCTCCACTTTCTGCCCTCACCCCCTCACCTCTTTTGCTCCCTTCTCTGGGCTCCTGACTCTTTCTGCAGCCTTTCTTCTGCTACTTCTTGGCTCCTTCTTACTGCTGTAATTCAGCCACACCCCTGATCTTCTGGTAAGAAAGATCTACACCTAACCTTTTCGGACAAGGGCGAAAAATCTCGGAGGTCACGTGTGCAAGTTGTTTAAAAATCCCTTGGTGGTCAAAAATCGATACGAGTAGGCTTCGGCCGCAACCGGAGCAAAATTCAAAATTTCCTACCAACTGAAATAGTTTAAAGTGTCCCGCACGCTCATATGACCTTGTGCAGTTACGAGCGCCGTAAATCACTTACAAAACAAACAACACACTGCACATCACTCTAAACTGGCTAACCCTTATCGGCAATGAGGAAGCAGCCAGCACACCGCCTTCAAAATGGTCTAAATAAAGTGGAAAAGGCATTGGGCGAAAAACAATGTCATTTGCAACCATTCCATTCATTCATGAAACAATTCCACATTTCACGCCCATTGAATGACAGGGTTCTAAGTCCACTTTTGCGAGAACTGAGTTACACTTTACACAATACTGTCGCAGATACCTTGCTCACCGTGTTAAAGGATCGACACAATCTGACCTGCAATTATTCAGTTAGACAATAAAAAGTAAGATATAAAAATTCATCTTTAAGGGTGTGAATCTTTGGATTTCATTTTCTCTAAACTATGCGCTATGCATTTAGGACTCTGTCACTGTCATTCTAAGGGTACAATTTGTAAAGACACAATACTAGACATATAGATTGTGTGTATGGCGTAGTTATTTAGTCTCTAGTTTTAACCCAGGAATAAAAGACATGACCATTACATTTTTCTTTGAGCTTTGTTCTTATCTCAGACTGGTAGAAAATAGACACAAATAAGCAAAAAATTGAAATATTTTACAAGCTAGTACAAGAAAAATGTCTTGTGATTATTTGGGGGCATTTGTTTCTCAAGGATTCTTGTACCAGTTCAGTACTTGAGACAGTTCTTTCGATTTGGTTTTTGGCAGAACCAATACAGTCAACAGAATGACCAATGCTGAGAGACTAAAAACAACACCATCAGGTCACCACGACTTTAGCTCATCCTTTGAGGAAATAAAAAGAAACCAAAGAAAAACCTAGTATACGTTTCATGTTCAGGTATAAACCACTTTTTAATATAGTGTGCTTTTTGTTGCTGTAAAACAGTTGTTTGTGAGGTCAAGGGATTCAAATGGGGCTTTGGTTTCGAAAAAAGGGGTCTAGATTATTTCACCGTACCTAGAGTATCGTCTCTCTGAGAATGATGTTCTCTTAACGGGGCCCTGCGCCCTGCACGTTGCCTCTACATCATCTAATCTGCTTGGCGTTCATTAAGGTGTAATATACCTCGCGGAGAACAAAAGACAATCAACAAAAAAAGTTGTTTGAAGTCGGAAAACATTCATTAGATAAACGTTTTTGAAAGGGAAGAAGATATAACATAGAAGGCGCTAGGGGAGACTGCAGATCTCCACGAAAATGTGAATTTATGAAACCCTTGGAATCATTCGAATCTAGATTGTATTGTAAGGAACATAGTCGAGTAATTCAGAACAGCTGGAATCGAAGTGACGGACAGTTTGGATAGGCCAGGCTAACGTGTTGGAGGAGTAAGGAACAACTTGTCAGTGATATACTTTATCAAAAACTGTTACAGTAACCCACACACACACATTTAAATTATTTATGACATGCCCAGAATGTGCGCATGGACACTTAGGAAGCCAATCCACAACGTGACAAGACAAAGCTTAAGAAAGAATCCTCAAGGGGATTGGAAGAGAGAGAGGCCGAGATCCAACTCGGAAAGAGATCTGGAGACAGATCTCAGGCTGATGAGGCACAGCTGGCTGGAGGTAGCGAGGATCGCCCGAAACAGAAACATATGGAGAGCTCGTCTTAGAAGTCTATGTCCAATAAGAGCGTTGAAGAAACCCAATTAGAAAGGAAAAGCGTGCACATCGACGTCATTGCTCATGAGTATAAAATACAATTGAAAGAAACCTAATTTTGAGTAAATTGCGTGCGCAGAGCGACCACGAAGCAATCTTTTAAAGTAAGGTTCGTAACAACTTTGTAATGTTCGACTCTCGTAATACAACATATTTCAACACCAAAATCTCTTTGAAAACTAGCTGCTTTTAATAAATTTCACAACTTGTTATGGGACAAAACGGATATGTGTCTGTTAACCTCTCATCCCCGTCCCTTTAACGATCTACAAGTACGTGCCCCTCCCAAACACAACATTGCAGATAACTAGTGCAGACGCTTCTTTTTAATCTTAAACTTAAGATAACTTCACGAATTTCTACTTTGCCATTAAGTGTGTATGTTGTATAGGAACAACCTGCCAGTATCCTGACGAAAGGGCCCAGCATAACATCTCCTAAACGACCGACGGATGATGAGATTCCATTAGGTTGGTTACTTAATAGAGATAGAGATAAACGGATGGACCAGATGAAAGCCCTGCACAAAACAACGTACTTTTCAGAATGTCTAGAAATTATTTGTTCTGTTGACGTTTCCACATCCAATGGAAAAGAAATTTGATAAAGAAAACAGAACTGTATGGTGTCTTGAGAGTTCATAATAAAAAAGAACACAAATGTATTGTACCCCCCAAAAACCCATGCCGATAATCTCATTCGGCTTCCCAAGTATCTTAGAAAAGGACGCTGCTTTCTGAAGCTGCCAAAGATGTCATAATAGTACTTGAAAGTTGCCTTGATTCTGTTTTTCACAAGCGCGCAGAGTAAAGATCAAGGCTGAGAAGTATGGTATACGTCGGAAGAAGTACTCTTTTATGTAAGGGACGAGCCTCAATTTTCAAATGACAGACCTCTATGATGTGGCTATCAAGCGCTTCGCCGTTACACGCAGAAGATTTGAGATCAATATCCGTGTGGTGGAACATTTTTATCGAGTATTTCAGTTTTTCATCTGGAATGTGTATCCTTCTCAGCTTTGGTACTCCTTGACAGGCGGGCATTGTAAATGATCTAAATAGTCTCGATGGGGGCGTAAATCAACTACATAAAAAAACAAATGTTCGTCTTCGATAAGGCCAAACCAAGTAGGTAGAGAACCCGTTGGACTCGAACTAGGGTTGCCCTTACATATGATCGGCATACTACCATCTGAGAGCAATCACAGCCGACGGTTGATTCTATAGGGTAAATAAAACCCCTTGCATTTTACACTCAGGTTAATGTTCTTTAGTCGTTTGTCCTTTGGCTTTAGAACTCTAAATTCTATAACCATGAGGGTAGTCGGTTAATCTGACGTCCGATTAAGACGGCGACGAACATGTTAGACATAATTTAAACTAATTATTCAGTCTATTTATTCGAAACGGGATGACCCTCTAAAATTCCAAAGATGGCAGAGCAACGAGCGAATAATATTTCAAAATAAGATTTAACCAACTAAGCAAAGTGTTCTTAGAGGTTAGTCGGACACCCGGTCTCTTGAATAATGTTTTTCTTGTTGAAAAGGG